ATTTACTGTTTGTTTTCTGTGTTTGTTGGTTCCTTGGGTTGTAGATAGCCTTTTTGTTTGTTTTCTCTTCATGAATGCCATTTTTATTATACTAGTGTGTTTTGATTTTTCCTGAGTTTTTATGGCAGTGGTAGTTATTTTTCAGGAGCCAAACCCAGTACTCCCTTGAGAATTTCTTGTAAGGGTGGTCGTGTGGTGGTGAACTTTTGGGAGAGGCAGATTCTTTCTAGTCCTTGGTATGGAACTAACTATACTCAAATCATTTTTGAATCACAAGTCACTTGCTACACCTTAGTTTTCCTATCAGTAAAATGCATGGGACTAAGTGTCACTTGGAAAATATAGTGACATCATGCTTGTCTGGGATGAAACAGCCTTTTTGACGTTTGAGCCTCTTCAAATAATCTGTAGTACATCTCAGGAATCTCCAGATATTTCTAGATGTCTAGAAAAACCCTTTGTTTCTCCATGCTACCTCATAACAAAGCTCTCCATTATGTTCTTGCTGTATCTATAGCAAGTACAACACAACCCCAGCTGATTGACATTAGATACAAAGCCAGCTTCTTGAAACTTCTCTCCTTTAGAAAGAGTAAGTGAGGCATTAATGTCAAGAAATGGACAAGCTGTACAGTGGGGTCATCTGCCTTTGTGCTATCAAGAAGGAAATTGCAAAACCCTATGACCCCAGCCACCTTACTCCTAGGCTGTCTCCCTGCAGGGTCCAGGGAACACCAGCATGACAATCATGGTGCATGGAGGTTAAAATGCAGATTCCAGGGCCATACCCCCAGACTTATTTAATCTGGATCTTTGGGAGTGTCTTCAGGTGTCTGCGTTTTAACAAGCTCCCCAGGCACATCTGATCTCCCTAACGTTTGACCACCGCTATGCTAAGAATTCTCTTTCCTACCCCCAAAAGCCTCAGTCCTAAAGGAGACATTCCTTATTTTAATGAAGATAGGATCAGATCAGAAGCAATGGGGTTGTCAAAGTGTACCTTCCCTCATGGCTTCAGGATTCTCCCATTGAAATTCGTGGAGCTCCAGATCTGTGACCACTTTCAACGCGTCCTGAAGTTGAGGACAGTCACTGAGAAGATCTACTACCTAAAGCTCCACCCTGACCATCCTGAGACTGTTTTCCACTTCTGGATGCGACTAGTTCAAATTCTGGAAAAGGGCCTGTCCATTACCACCAAAGACCCTAGGATACTGGTCACTCACTGCCTGGTACCCAAGAACTACTTCAGCCCCTCAGGAGACTCTAAGGTAAGTGATTACCATTGCCAGACTTCAGCCAAGACCAAAGCTAAGAGCTAGAGCTTAGACTAGCTGGTATGTGTGCACCTGTGAAGGTTATCTCTGCCTTAGACCTTTTCTATACAGCTTTATTGAGGTATCATTTACAACCATAAAATTCACCCACTGTAAGTGTACAGTTAACACTTTGAATAATTGTATAGAGTTGTGCAACCATTAGCACAATCCGGTTTTAGAACATTTCCATCACCCTAAAAAATTCCCTGTTGCCCACTTGCAGTCAATCCCTGTTCCTACTCACAGCCCTACACAACCATTGATCTGTTTTCAGTCTCTATAAATTCATCTTTCTTAGACATTCCATAGAGTTGGAATCCTATAATAGGTAATCTTTTGTGTCTGGCCTCTTTCTTCCCCCCCCCCTCAGTTAAATTGTAATTGTTTTTTAATTGATTATACATATTTTTGGGGTTCAATGTTGACATATGTTGATCAAATCAATATTACTGGCATATATATTGTTACAAATCATAATTATTCTTTATGCCCCTTATCCAATCTCTCACCATCCCCCTCTCCCTCCCCCCTCTAATTATCCTAGATTTCATCTCTCCTTCTGAAAGAGTAGTGGTTACTGTGTTGATTTGTTGCCTAGATGATCTGTCCAATGCTGAGAGGTGTTTAGGTCCCCCAATATTAACGTAGAGCAGATGCTTCTTCTGTCACTCTGGAATGAGCTTTGTGGAGAGAGACATCCTCTTCTTTTCTTTGGTCTCTTGGTGACTCGCCTTGTGTCAATGAACTCCCATGGCTGGCAAACCATCTGCATGGTGGTTGTGGCATCTAGCCACTTTTGTGGCAGCCATGGTTATTGTGGTGGCTGTGGTGGGCCACCCACATGGAGGTGATGTTTTGGGCATGCTCCTTGGTGTTGGCAGTGTGCCTGGTTGTGGGGGAGGTCTGGTCCCCAGCTCCATGCCTCAGGTCCCCAGGTGGGTGTGCCTGGGCTGAAACTAATTTTTTGTCCTTTGCTTACTTCTAGAATGGGGAATTTCCTATGGGGACCAGTACTTGAGCTGTGTGGTTTAGCTAAATTGCTGCTTTGCTGCTGATTCCCTAGGAAAGACATTTTGTGCAGCTCAAGTTTTAATGGTTGACTTTATAGGTACTTCCTGCTCTTGAGAGATCTGGTGCACCTGGGTTGTGTAGAAACTCTGATCTGGGCCTGAGTCTTTTCATCAAACTGTACCCCATGCAATTCTATATTCCTGACCAGTCTCCTCTTAGTGGTCCTGTGTTGGTTGGAGGGCAGATCAGCTGTCCTTGCTGTGCCCCAGTGTTCCCCCAGTTGACTCATCTCCCCCATCACCTGTACTGAAACAATTCCCATGAAACAGGCCAAGCACTGGTCCCTTTCAATGACTCTTTGGCCTCTGAGTGGCTCCTTTTTTTCAGTTGTTGTGGCTTCTCGCTCCTATGTGGGTCCATGGGAACCCTATTAGTAGTCTTGCTGGCCTAGGGGCCACCAAGGCCCTCTTCTCCCCTGCCGCCTCCAAGCAACACCATCTGAAAGGCACAGCTGCAGCTTTTGCCAGCTCCTGCTCTGTGCACTCAGCAGCTTCAGCCTTAAAGCAGCTGCAGCACAAAATAGTTGGAGCAGTTTTTTCTTTCTCTCATCGTGACTTCTTCCACCTTCATGCACTCCGTAGGTCTCTCCTCCTCTTCCCCTGAGTTCTAGCAGCCCCAGCTTGGCTGTTGTTGCATTTTTATAGTTGCCAGTTGGTTGATTTGTGGGGGAGAGTGATGCTGGGGACTGTCTATTCCACCATCTTGACCAGAAGCCTCTGACTTCTTTCACTTCCCATAATGTTTTTCAGGTTCATCCATGTTGTAGCATGGAACAGAGTCACAGACTATCCATAGTTTACTCCGTTTAATGGATAATATCCTACTGTATAGATGTACCACACTTTGTCCATTCACCAGTTAATGGACATTTGGATTGTTTACAGCTTTGGGCTACTATGAATAAGTGCTACTATAAAAATTTGTGTACAGGTTTTATGTAGACATGTTTTCACTGGTCTTAGGTAGATTACAAGAAAGGAAATCACTAGGTTATATGGTAAATTTATGTTTAACTTTTAAAGAAACTGGCCAACTGTTTTCCCAAGTAGCTACACTATTTTACATTCCTACCAGCAATGCATGAGGGTTTCAGTTTCTCCACATCCTCACCAACACTAGTATTACCTATCTTTTTTTATTATAGCCATTCTAGCAGATATGTTTTAATTTGGATTTCTCTAATGACCACTGATGTTGAATAACTTTTCATGGGCTTATTAGTCATTCATATATCTTTTTTGGTGATATGTCTATTCAAATCTTTTGTCCATTTTTAAATTGGGATTTGTCTTCTTGTTGCATTGTAAGAATTCTTTCTATATTCTGGAGACAAGTCCTTTATCAGATATATAATATGCCAATGTTTTATCCCAATCTGTGAATTGTCTTTCCATTTTCTTAATGACGGCTTTTTAGGAGAAAAAATTTTTAATTTTGGTGGAGTGCAGTTTATCAACATTTTCTTTTATGGATCAGGTGTTTGTTCAACCCAAAGTCACAAAGATGTTATTCAATGTTTTCTTCTTCCAGAAGTTTTATAGATTTAGTTCTTACATTTGGGTCTATGATTCTGTGATTTTGAGTTAATATTTATGTGTAGAATGAGGCAAGAGTCTAAGTAATTTTTTTTCATGGGGATATTCAATTTGTTGAAAAGGCTATTCTTTCCCCACTAAATTATCTGGGTACCTTTGTCAAAAATTAATTGACCATCAATGTGAGAATTTATTTCTGGATTCTCAATTCTGTTAGGTTGGTCTATTTGCCTGTTCTTGTGCTAATGCCACAATGTCTTTATTAGTATAGATTTATATTAAGTTTTGAAACTGGGTGATGTAAGTCTTCCAATTTTGTTCTTTTTCAAACTGTTTTTGCTCTTCTAGGTCTTTTGCATTTCCATATAAATTTTAGGGTCAATTTGTCAATTTCTACAAAACAAACAAACAAACAAAAAAGCCTGATGGAATGTTGATAAACACATGTAGAATTTATACATCAATTTGGGGAAAATTGTCATCTTAACAGTACTAAGTCTTCCAACACATGAATATGGAATGTCTTTCCATTTATTTCAGTCTTTAAGTACTCTCAACGATATTTTGTTGTTTTCAGTAAACAAGTTCTGCCCTTCTTTTCTTACATGTATTCCTAAGTATTTTATTATTGTTGATGCTATTGAGAATGAAATTGTGTTTTCTTAATTTCATTTTTGGATCATTCATTGGTAGTATATAGAAATACAATTGATTTTTGTATATTAATCCTGTTTATTAGCTATAGTAGTTTTGTGGATTCCTTGGGATTTCTACGTGCATACATATATGCATACATTCATGTCATCTGCAAATAAAGACACTTTCATTTCTTCATTTCCAATCTGGATCTATTTGTTTATTGCCTTATTGCATTAGCTAGAATCTCCAGTACGATGTTTAATGGAAGAAGCAAAAACAGATATCCTTGCCTTGTTCCTGATCTTAGGGCAAAAACATTCAGTCTTGGGCCGGCCCGTGGCTCACTCGGGAGAGTGCGGTGCTGATAACACCAAGGCCACGGGTTCGGATCCTGTATAGGGATGGCCGGTTCGCTCACTGGCTGAGCCTGGTGCTGACAACACCAAGCCAAGGGGTGAGATCCCCTTTCCGGTCCTCTTTTAAAAAAAAAAAAAAAAAAAAAAAAAGG